AAAAAAAAACAAAAGAAACAAAAGAACATCCTCCCGAACGGGTTTCTTGTCATTCATCCTATTCAAAAATCGAAAAGTCCCACGAGAAGAATTTTTCCCCCCTTCGCACCCTGAATTCGAGTTAACCGTGAGAAAATCGTTATCGGGAGTGAAAATGTCATTCGAGATATCCGGAAATTCGAGATAAGCGAATTCGAGTTAAACGGAGCATTTAACATGGTGTCCTACGGGGTTCCGCCGGGACCAAGCATTCAAGTTCGAGATAAGCGGAATTTCGACTTATCAGGATCCGAGTTAACGAGTTTTCACTGTATTACCCATTCTGGCACTGACAAAATGATCTAAGCTGCCATGAAAATTCCAAGCCAAGAACGAGATGAGGTCAAGACAATAGATGAGGAAATCATTATTCGTGCATTTATGAGTGTTGTTATCGTGGATAATCTACAAAAAGTTCCCTTCCGAGCTTAAATACACAAGCCCTGACTGAACTGACAAGGTTTTGTTAATGCCTGTGTAAATTAAAGGTCCTATGTTTTCAAATGTAGGTAACAGAAATACATATTTCAGCACAAAAACGTGCTCTTCAGAGAGGAAAAATCATTCAAAGAGCAATATAGTCAGCTACTAATATTTTTTGTTTATCTCAGCAGTTGTAATGAAAGACATTATGAACAGTTTCACATATTCCCCCTGGTTACCACTTGAAATATTTAAGAAAATTTACTATATATTATTATGTTTATCTGTAAATGTTTAATTCACCCCTGTGTCTATCTGCACACAGGGTAAACACTCCAGTTTTTTGGTCACACTGATACGACTCCCATAGGAAATTGACACCCTGTGCGCACACCGGGAAGCACTAGAAATAGGTCCTCGCGCGGGAATATGTTGACGGAATGTTTGAAAACGACGAGATTAACTAATTATGCCGGATTTAAGCCTCACTGGCCAACAAATGGTTATCGACCAGAAACAGGAGTGCTTACGCTGTGCTTCTCATTTCAAAAGCATTGGTGACAGATTAGCAACCTCAAGTAAAACTTTAATTCTCGAGCGTATGCACGAACCGAACGCGCATAATTTTGAAAGATTGAATCAAAGGTTATGCAGACTGGATCATGTCGATGTAGAGGAATGTGGTACCCTTTGAGAAAAGAGGACCGTATGAGTTAATTTTTACAAAGGTTTTCTATTCGCAAGGCCCATATTGATGACATTTATTTTACTTGGCGTATAGATTTCCAATTGGTGTGTTCCGGGGATTCAGGAAGTCCGATGGTCTTCTATACTCAGGCCTTGAGGCAATGGCAGATTGAAGGAATCGTGAGCCACTATCTCGGCAAGAAGCGCTGCTCCATGATGCTTCCAGGCGAATATGGCATTTTCACTAGAGTCAACCGGTCAGATGGCATTTCCTTCGCTCTTCATTTTCCTTCCATTCTTCCATCCCATACATCCCCATCCTTCATGACAGATTTAAATTCTCACTTCTTCTCCATTCTCCCTTCAGGTTTCTGGATTGGATTCTTCCAAAGATTGAGGACGCACGATGAGGACCCTCTGGTTATTCTCGAGAATGTCATGAGTTTCACTCATAACTTGTACTATGCAAAATAAACAAAAAAAAAACATTATTCACGTTAAACACATGAAAGGTTTGACTTTTTGTGTGCCTACATCACAATTTAATAATGTTACCGCGCATAAGAAGACAAATGTCCATGACCGAGAGCATCACCTTGCCGGGGTACAGTCACCTTTCAGCTCCGGCTGCGGCTCTTCATCGGCGTCTACCCACTGACGCTTGCAGGTATGGTTCGCGTACATCACCCACTTCTCATCCCCCGTGACGAGGTCGTCGAGCCAGTCGAAGCGCCGTCGGAGGGAGAGGAGAAGTGCACAGGTGTCGGAACGTTGCTCGAAGTCCTTCCGTGTCGAAGCTTGGGGTATGCAACTCCCGAGCTTCGAAACCTTCCCGATTATGGACAGGCAGTGTTCGATAGTGAAGCGGGAGCACCCGAGGACGGCGCCCATGTCGCGAGTGGTCATGCGGGGAACTGCTTCCACGAGTTGTAGTAGAGTTGTAGTAGCGCCGCATCGTCCAACTCCGACGGGCGTCCCGAGCTCGACTCGTCTTCGACACTATAGTTTCCGGACTTTAAGCAAGCGAACCGATTGAAGCGCGTCTTCTCGCTGATGACTCCTTCCCCAAATGCCTGGCACAGACGGCGATGGGCGTCTGCTGTCTTCTCTCCCAGAAGGAACTCATCGAGGAGGCAGGTGCGACGGTGGTCACCCAAGCAGCATGTTTACGTATACAAGATATCAATTCCTTGCAAACAATGTAAATTTCTTGCGATTGCCATGAAAGTGACATCACGTTTACATAAAATTTACGTTCCTATATTTACGTCACCGAAGTGTACGTGTATTTTACATCAACTAGACGTCACTCCATCTGACGTGAAGTACATGATTTTAAGTTTATGAAAAATTAACACCACACCATCCATATGAAACTTAAGCTGACCGTCCTGCAGCTGCAGTACCAAGATTCCTCACTAGATGGAACCCTTGTTCCCTGCACCCTACAATTACTATTAAGTACTGGTCTTCCTGATATAATATCAGGTTTTCTTACCATCCTTCCACTTTTTATTATGCAATCCATGAATATATATATATGGAAAACATAAATTATGATATATATATTTTTTATGTATGACTCAGGGAATCATTAAATGCTGAAGTTAAGCTTCTTATTACAGCAGTGCACGGGATTAGGGAAGAGTAGAATCCTAGCCCCACAAGTACTATATNCGATGGGCGTCTGCTGTCTTCTCTCCAAGACGAAACTCATCAAGGAGGCAGGTGAGACGGTGGTCACTTTCAAGGTCGAACTTCAGCTTCATACTTGGAGGTGAGGAGGCGAAAATAAACTGAACCTGCACGGAAAAAGGGAGACTATTTATAGGCAAAGTGGGAAAATTCCAGAAAATTCGTGAGGCTTCCTAAAGAGAAATGGTGAAAACTGAAGACCTTTCTGGCCAACCCCAGATCATTGTGGACATAGAAGATAATCAACAGCGAGTCAATGGCTGGTTGCGCCTCCGGCGCTCCATTGTCCAGGATAGTGGTTCTTCCATTAATTCATTTTCAAAATGGCGAGAACGTATCAAAAGTATCGTTATATGCTTGAGTAAATGTACCTAAGTTCGAGATACCACAGATTCGATCCCCTTCACTCGATGCTATATGCTAAAATATTGCACACTCAACCGCATCGTGTTTATAATTTAGATATTGTGTAGAAAAGGACTGTGCCTACGTTAGAGGCCATATCGAAGCTATGAATATATTGGGGAAAAAATTGTGAAAAATCCCAATAGGTACTCTTGTATTTCAAGCCGGAGGTTAACCATATTGCGTGCGCGAATGTGGCCGCTAACTTGGCCGAGCGACAATTCTTTTTTTTGGTTGAGTGCGTTTGTGACAGCTCTCCAGGCCAAACGCTTCCGGATATGAATTTGGGATTTCGACAGAACTGTTTCTTATCCGAGGAAGTTGCTTTTCGAAATGAAATTTGCAAATCAGCCTCACGAAAGGGAGGGGAGTCAACTTTCACAGAAAATCGCTTTCTCTCTCGTCTCGCCATCTCTGGGGAAAAGGAGACGAGAGTTACCTTTTTACTCGCAAGGGAACGATGCCATTGTTCACTGCATTGCCTGGCGCCTGCTGCCGGGAATACAGGGATTTGAAACGTCCATGATGATATACGGAGCGGGAGAGTTCATCAAAGGTTGCATTGTTTTCCCGTATCGCAGATGCATTGGTGGATGACAAAACAAAGCATAATCTACGGGACCGGAAGCTAGCAGTAAAAGAAAATATGGTCTGCAAATAGTGATGGTAATGTTTGTTGCAAGTTCCCTCTCTTCCTTTGTAACGGGTCGCCAACCCTCAAGTCGACAGTAACCTATGAATACAGGAGTTGTATCGTTAAATGCAGCATCCATTTTGAAAAACGAAATGTCAATAAAGGCAACCTTGTTTATAACGAACCTCGGTTATAACGACGATTTTTTCCTGGTCCCTTCGATGACGTTATAACCGAGTTCGACAGTAATTCTAAAGATCGTTCTTTCCATCAATATTAACGATAGTGACCTGCATCTTGTAGTTTGGAAGATATTGCTTTTTGAAATGGTGTAGTAACTTATTGGTCACCCTGTATATGTAGATATTTAAAATATAATAAAATAAGATAGAGAATCCATACAAATACGCATGCTGCAGTGACTAAATGGTACAGTACTAGCAACTGAGAATAGCTTTTCCCTTCAACATTTTTAAACATGTACAGTATTATTTAATCTAATATATACTGTATTACTTTTCACCATAAGCGAAGAACAAGCTACTCTGACTTCCTTAGACTCGTAGATAATAGGTGAATATATCTTAGCCGGAATATCACCTGCCCCTGCGTTTATGCAGGAGGATAATTCACTTTCCAAGGTTACTTCAAGAGAAGGAAAATGAAACCGATAGATGATAGTGCATAACATCTCTCTTAAGAGAAAAGAGGTCTTTTCTCATAAGAGAGAGAGAACAGGGCCAATCTGACTGACTGAATACGAGAAAACTGGAGACAAGACGAAACCTTCCTTACTATGGCTGTAATACTATGCGCTTCTTCATCAGACTATCCCAGAAAAGAGAGGATAGTACTTCCAACCAGATTAATCAGGTACGTGATGGTCTTCGTTTTCAGGAGCAGGGCTTTCCTTGGACTGAATTTAATTTAACCCTTTCGCTGCGCTGATCGACTTTCTTCACACAACAGTAATTCATCATTAACCAATATCGATTCTACTACGCAGCGAAAGGGTTAAGTGATGAAAAGAACGTATACAGTATGTTTATTGGATATAGCTTGAATACTGAAAAGAAATGTTTATTGAAACCTTTTCATGGAAATATCAAATTCACTTCCACGATGAATGCATGTCTTTCAGGACGCGCATAATTCTAAATGTTTTTGATCACTCTATATTTCAAACATTTATGGTTGTTGTAGCTAAGCCAGCCGGTAGAGTTGCAATTGATATGCCTCCCGACATATCAGTTCCTTCACTTCTCCGAGGCAATTTTTGAGAATGGAAATAGAGGATGGGTGCGATTTTGTTTTGTCCACGCATTTTTAAAATCATTTATTGTCATTATCATTTCTTGTTATTCGTGAGTTTTGATGACAGGTGGCTGGTTGGGGTTCAAATGGTTCGGATATCCCCAGTGATGTATTGACGGAGATTGAAATTCCTGTTTTATCAAATGCCAACTGTCATAGAGAGACCATAAATCAAAAGGGGAAAGGCGCCACACAAACACTTAACTGGCAGTCATTTTGTGCCGGCAACGACCAGGGAGCTTCTAAAGAGGAGTATTCAAGAAGGTTACCCACCTTTTGTGGGTAACCCTCTTGAGTAACCCTCTTGAAAAACCCGCAAAAAGCAGCATCACCCCTAACAAGAACAAGAGTGAATCCTGGAACTGACTGGAAATGAAAGTTAAGAGCAAGAAGGATTGAACACACATTTTATAGCTGCTTGCCAATTCATGGAACTGTTTGCTTGCAAGCATTCTCCCAGCGCTGCGTTCTAATCTGGATTTGTAGATTAATTCTTTCCTGGAAAGTTAAGCTCATGCAATCTTATCGTGCAGTTCGGTTTGGCAGCTATGACGTCGACAGCTATGAAGTCAGCAAGAGGTCACCAGAATGTGATAAATTGGTTATGTCACCGTCTTGTTTGTAGATAAAAATGAAGCTTTTCTCGATGCTTCTTTATCAGTCGTTTCTGGAAAACACTAATGTAGTCTTCGACTATTTTTTAAGGTCCTTGAGTGATACAATTTTAGATGGGTATGAGAATACCTTTAAAATGACATCAAAATCAACTTTCTATCACTTCGAACAAAAGTTATGAGCACTTAAGCGATGATGAAATCTTCCACCTTTTGCTACTTTCAAATTACTACAACTCTGAAGGTACTTGAGGTAGAGAGCTGTAATTCGGGAAAAACGCGGCTTCAAAAGGTGTCGCGACAACAGCGCCAGTTCCTGCCCTTCGGATACAGTACAGTATACCTATAGGCAATATTAGGCCAATTAATAGGCAATTTCCTGCAATAAACGTGCCAAGATTTCGCAATGGTTTCAAACAATTTCGTTGGAGTTAAAAACTGGAATTGGTGTTTGAAGAAAAGGCCTAAAGGTCTTGGAAAACTAATTCAATGTTTACTTAACCCCTACTTGGCCGAGGTAGTTTTGATCACACTATTTGCCAAGGTTGGAGGGGGGATTTCAAAACGATCCCTCCCACCCTTGGCCACGGAAGGGTTAAGACACAGATCTAGAAGCGATGCGGAAGACATTTTAAACGTTAATGTGAAAAACTCTAGATTCAAGTGGTCACTACGTGAATGGGTTGCTGGCATAGACTGAAAAATCAAAGCACTCATCAGTGATAAAAAGCGGAAATGGGATACGTACAAGCGCACGGGAGATAGTAGGAATATGAGGAATATGGGACCATCATGCGGATGGTTCTCGAGGGGGGGGAATGAGAGAGCTGAAGTTTACGAG